AGAGTGTACAGGCAACAGCCTAAAGAGCAGCACTCTCCATGCTGGATGGGAATGAGACAACGAGTTAACATTTACATCGATGTGTATGTTCAAAAGACACTGCTAAATTTACTTAGGCAATCCTGGCATATTCCAATTTCTTGAGGCTTGTTGTGCTGCCTTTATAATCTTATTTTGAAGAGGTTTTTATGCGTCACTAACGCAGATTTACATAAGTGTTGAAGAGTTATTATATTCCGTGTTATTATTAAGGTATTGAGCAACTCTGGCCTTAATACCTCAATAGTATCTATTTTTGGTATTATCTAAGAATCTCACCTTACATTAAAACATTAAAAAAAAAAAAAAAGGGTTTTGTCCTCACATTTTCAGGATGGAAAATGAAAACAGTCTTAGAAACTTAGTGAAGCCTTGCTAAAAATATCCCTATTTTTTAACACTATTACCATTATTTTTTAATGTTTGCAGCTGGCAGTATTTCAATTAGTAGTCTAACAATGTACTAATTGGTAACCTAATCATCTTACAGACTGAACTGCAAGTAGCAGCCTCAGCTACCTCATCCTGCACTCAACAGCCATTTCACAGAATCATATAATCATAGAATGGCCTGAGTTGAAAAGAACCACAATGATCCTCTAGTTTCAACCCCCTGCTATGTGCAGGGTCGCCAACCACCAGACCAGGCTGCTCAGAGCCACATCCCTTGAATGCCTCCAGGGATGGGGCATCCACAGCCTCCTTGGGCAACCTGTTCCAGTGTGACACCATCCTCTCTGTGAAAAACTTCCTCCTAATATCTAACCTAAACCTCCCCTGTCTCAGTTTAAAACCATTCCCCCTTGTCCTATCACTATCCACCCTTGTAAACAGCCTTTCCCCCTCTTGTTTATATGCTCCCATTTACTGCAAATATTCCTCAAACTCAGTAGTGCTATTCTGTACTGTGCAATAAAAAAAGAAATCCTGGACATACACACACTTGGACATTAATAGCACAATTCATTTATCATTCACTTATAAACTTTTTCAATATTTGAACTATAGCCATTTTTGCAAATAGTACATAGTAAATTTATCAGTGACTAGAAAGTTTGATGCTGCTTTTGTTTACAAATATATACATAAGTATAGCTAGAGAGCTTCTTAAACATCAGGTAAGGTATACTGGCACTCTTAGTTATTCTCTTTTTGCAAGAAATTCATTATGGGGATGCTTTTGATAAGAGAGGTGTGAGTGTAAGTCACTAACTCTGCTTCCTCTGTAGGATGATGCCTTGGGAGAAGCAGAACATTCCATGGGTGCCTGACTCACTCTTTGGACTTCTGAACATCTTTTCTGGGATGGATTTCTCTCATATATTTTTAAAGAGTTCAAGTTAGAGCTTTAACATCTGTGAGTTGCCCATATCCTCTATAATCAGAGGGAGGGGCAGACCGCCAAGTAGTGATTTATCCCACCTACATTAAAGGCACTTCTTCAGAACCATCTGAATTGCGCTCTAGAGGTTATTTTCCATACTGGCAAGGCAATGCTTTGAATTTGTGTTTAAGTTGTAATTAGCTAAATTACATAAAACTACTTTTGCCATTATTAAGGTGCTTGTACAAGCCAGGGTTTGATTATACAGTGTGGGTGTAACGTCTTTCAAACGCTCAGCTCAGGATAACATATCATTGCTCCACCAAATCTCATATAGTCTATTGTGGAAGCTAGAGAAATAAGCTTTCTAATCCACATATATTGTGGATTAATTCACAACTTGAGCTTTGTTCCGTGAAATTCCAGTACCTTTATTCTTCATAGATTTCCTCCTTTACAGCTGCAAATTAATTTTTCTCACTAGAAATCTTAAATTTCAGTGGATTCAATTTATTTATTTCCATATAAAGTAACCTAGTTCCAACTCTGTTCTTGGTATGGTCTTACAAATAGCCATGTCAGGGGGTGGAGGTCATTCTTCTTTGACATTCTGTGTATTTGAGAACACAAAACTTTGTATGTACAGAGCTTAAGTCCTTTAGATGAGTCTAGATACCACTCAAAAGCAACATTAAATAACATTACTCATATTTTTCATACGGTGATGTACAAAATTTATGTATGTGCTGTCTGTAATATAAATCAGTTCAAGAGCATTGTCTGAAACTGGTAAGGAGTGCATTATCCCAGATCAACACGAGACAATCAGCAACACTTTGAGGACCACTTCACATTCAAAAGCATTCTGTTGGACAGTGCCAGAACAGTTGGCATGGGAGCAACTATTTTCAGCTTGATACAGGAATTCAGGAGAAGATACTATTGCATCCTGTAAAGGCAAGATACAAGCTGGCATCTCCCTGCTTCCTCTTATCTCTGTTGCTTTAAATTTGCAGGGCCTGGAAGTCAAGAATTAAAAAATTCTTACTGACAATCCCAAAGCCAGAAGCTGTCATTCCAAAGAGCAGTCCAGACCACTCTGGACTGTAAGAGAACATGTTCATTCATCCTCACCTGACCATCATACTTTGGATGATGCACCACTACCAAAGATCAGAAACCCCTGACACCAAGACAGCACTAGATAGAGGAGCACTGAATTGCTTTGCTGTGTTTGCTGTCTGTCTGTCTCTCTTTCCCCACTTTCTACCTTTTCTCTTTAACTTCTTTTACTCTTTCACTCTTCGTAGCAGCTGTTGCCTAATATTGTCGTAGAAATTTTAGCATAGAAATAACTCCTGTGCCAAAATATTTGTAACACTTATTAATCATTATTAGCAAATTAGCCAGTTTTACCCCCCAAGTAGACTATTAGCTGTCTATTATTTGATAATTCAAGTCAATGACTTGATTTGTATTATTGCTCTGAGTCCGGGATGACTCCATTGTAGTATTGATCCCTACTGACTAGGGGAGGCATGACTCAGGAGACAGAAAAAGATTCACTTTCATTGAAACTCAGTGAGTGGGGCAGACAAGCACAACGTGTAATTTGTACTGCTCATTTGATGGCATTTAATTAACATAGGTAGGTTTGCCAGATGATAAGACATATCTGAGTAAATAAGAATTTTGCTGTTACTTCATGAATGGAAAGAAGTATCAGACCACACAACTCATAAAATAATAATAACAATAACTCATAATAATAATTTATTGGATAGAGGCTGGAAGGAAAAAAAAAATCAGTCCAAAGATTGAAAACAATATTTAAGATAGTATGCATCTTAGTAGAACTGAGGTGAAAGAATGGATTATAACTTTTAAAAAACATGAATTAAAAATACACAGAACTCTTCACAGAAAACACAATAAAAGACTCAGGGAATACTTGTGACTATATTCTCCTATTTTAAAAGAAATTTGCTTCATTATTTAAATCTAAATGGAACTCAATCATTCATTTAAACATGAAATTGTAAGGAACTTTAAAATGGCTGCCTTTCTGCTGGAAGTACAAATGGTACTGCATCGAAGTAAAACCAGATAGATTTTTTACAGTCTTCTGACAGAGCATACAGTTTATTATCATACTAAGATTTTCAAGTGAAGCTTTTAAACAAAGTCTATTACAAATACAAGTTACAAGAGGGTGAAACTGTAAGGGCCAGAGACAACAACTTATATTTATGTCTTTCCCAGAAAACATGAATATGTTTGGCTAAAAAATAACTGATTTCTTGGAAACATATTTTAAATTAAAACAGGCTATCTCATGTTATGCCTGTTCTAAGGTTATTCCCATTCTGACATATTTTTTCCCAAAAAAGTAACAATTCTCAACAACTCGAAATGGAAACGTAAATACAACATGATCATGAATTCCCACTAAGACTAAATGTTTTTCAAAATTACCATAAGAAAGGAAATTTTAAAAACACTTAGATAGGTTAGCTACAGTATGAATTATTTTCCCTGACATAGCATAAAACCTTCATCATAAAGCTATTTCAACGATTTACTAGTTACAGTGGAAATCCATATTCAAGTCATATTTATTTTCTAAATAGGGAAGATTCTTGCTGAGTATTTTCTTAATTTTAATGACAAGTACAATGTTACTTTATTTGTGTGAGGAGTCAGGGACCCATGATAAGCATTACTGGTCCCTGTCTCCTCACCAAAACCTCTGGGAATACTATGAATTACTGCTACCATCACCTGGGACATAAATGGAGACACAATTCAAAGCACCAGTGAAATAATAGCTCAAACGCAAAATCACATTTCTGCAATCCAATTACTTCTGAGTAAGAGTTTGCTTGCCTTTCTGAAGTCAAACACAGATAGTATGTGTCTACTTGCAGTACAACATCAAATCCAGAAGGAACAGTAAAAGTACTAGAACTTTTATTGGAACTACAGAATAGTACTGTATAGGATGGGATGAGACTCTACACAGAACATCACCAATGTTTCCCTGGCTAACAATATGTGCATTCAGTATATTTTTGCAGACAAGTGTTCTCTGTAAATTGAGCCACCCAGCAACTAATTTCAGAGTGTATGTATTAACTCATAGATATATATAGGTGTGTATACATATATGTATTTATATATCTTTACACACACACACAACTATGGCTTAATCTACTCTGAAGGCATGCTGAGCTTTCATACTATTTAATAAAGTAGATATAGGGTGTCTCAATAGGAAAAGCCTATATCCTAGCAGAATTAACTGGTTTCAAATACACACATATTCACAACTGTTTCACTATATCTTTGTCAGCAAGAAGTTAAATTCTTCCTAAAAAATATTATTTACTTTTTGAAGACCAAAAAGAGTTTGGAAGATGATTATTCTATTAAAATGAGAACACATACAGTAAGAAGCATTTATGTCATGTGAATAGCTAAGAGGACGTTGATCTCGGTCATTTTCATATACCACTTTAGTACAGAAAAGCATTCTTTTTTCACATTAGGAAAAGAATAGTGTCCCTGACCTGAGTGTATTTCTTATTGCTACACAAGACTACCATAAGGAGAAGGAGATGAAAAAGACATGCTTTACCTGTCCGTACTTTGCAGCTAAATGTAGAGGTGTCCAGTACTGATTATCCACCACATTGAGATCAGCCCCATGATCCAGTATCAGAGATGCAACATTCTTGTAGCCATTTGCACAGGCCACATGCAGCTGGAATAAGAAAATATCTATCTTAAAGTTTTCAGAAAAAAAACATAAGGTACTACTGTATATCTTGTATATGATGGTTGCCTCACAGACATAACTGGATAAATCATGATTAAAAAAAAAAAAATAATTAAAAAAAAATACATGTGAGAGCAACATTCTAGAAGACCATAGAATAATCTTATTTAGCATTTATAAACAAAACCCAAAAATAAAATAAAAAAAAGAACATTGTCTTACTGACATCTGTTCAAACAATTTAGTCTCACTAAATCATTTTCATACTTCATCCATTATTCCAATATCCATTTCAAACATAGTCACAGACTTCATGAGCCCAGGAATATTCACACAGTTTAGCAAAGCTTGTCCTAGGCCTAACTTCCTTCTGTGACAATTCAAATATCCCAGATGTGAGCTGATGCTGAAATGAATTCAACAACACATCATCACAGTACATTCACTTCTATGATTCTATGATTTTTCCACAGAAAACTAGAACATCCTCAAAAACACTACAGAGATTATATTCCTTTTATTTTCATTGCTTCACTAGATACTTCATTATTTTGTGTGGTATTGCTTTAACAGTTTTAGTTAACTTTCTATACCAGGAAACTTCATTTCAGAACTGCCATGGGACAGAGAAAGGGGAAAATACAGTAACAGAATGATAAAAGCTCCTCTCAGGAGGTCGCACAGCATACCATCCTGTCAAAGCAGGGATAAATTCACAAGTAGCCGTGCTTGCTTGGGACTCGTTGTTTGAAATAGTAAAGACAGAATGAGAGACAAGGCACTGAGGACTGCAGTGGCGAGTGAAAGAGGCAGATAAAAAATGTCTCTGTTAATGGGTGAGTTGAGAAATTGCATTCATAGATGAATACACATTAAGGCAATACAAATTACTTACTCCAGTACTAATTAAGTGAAAGAGGAAATGCAATAAGGAATCCTACATCAGGGGGAAATCATCACTTGCACATTTAGGTGGAAATTGGTTCTCCCTACTGCGGGGGATTAGAATTATCTTGGAAGGTGGCAGGATGTAATTCCCCATCACAGTCACAAAAAATCAATCTCAGTGCTGGTCAGTGAAGACGGGGTTAAGCAAGATTGTACAAATGGAGAACTGAGATTGAAGGGGGTAACTTGTAAGCCAAAATAACGTAACCCAACTACATGGGTTTTTCTGCCCTTTGAAGTAATGTTAGCCCAAGAGATGATTTCTCTAAGAATTTGAATGGATGACTGATGGCAAGAAACCTCTCACAATAATCCTCTTCCTAAACCTCTTCCTAGAACTGTGTGGTTCCAAAGCCTCAATAAGACCAGGAGACACCAAATCCTGTCCTGGAAATTATTTGCCACTATTTTTTTATTTCTGGTTTAGCTGCACCTGAAAAAGATGCATGAAATTTTCTTTATGAACATTTCTGATGCAGAAGGATGAAATAATGAAATGACATTACAGCCCACCACAGATCTTCCCAGAAATGGAGGCAGAACACCAACACTACAAATGTTCTAATTTCAAATACACAGAAACCTCAAAAATTTCCTATAATTCAATACAGTTTTACCCTTCTGTTTTTAACAAAAGAAACTGCATTTTCAATTCAAACTTCAATTTGATAAGTGCTATTTTAAAGCAGTTTCAAAGCTCAGAGGACAAAGGAAGCATTTGTGACTGAAATTGATAAAAAAAATTACAGAAAATATTATCAGAAGAATTAGTTTTACCATGTATCACTATATGCAGCACAGACACAGATATATACATATGTGCTATCATTCTGAGAGAGAGTGTGTCTATATGTCATTTTTCCTTATTAATCCTTAATTACACATGGCATTATCTAATGCATGAAAAGAAGGTTGATTGTGACATACAGAGTATAAATCCTTCAGGAAGAAGAAGCAGGACTTAGTGCCACTCTTCTCTGAGCTTGCCACCAAAAAGAAAAGTCTATATTCGTATCTGCTGGTAGATGTGGATTGTCCAGAGATATTGCACTGCTCCCTGCTCGGGATACACAGCACCTATTCCACCTCTATGGTATCTGATCTGTTGCTTAGCAATCTGTGCTGAAGATCTAGAGTCAGGCTGGTTTTAGTCTTGTGCAACAGTGATCTTACCAACTGTCAGTGAGTTGGATGTGGCTTGTCACCATGTTGACAAGTTTATCTTCTTGGTATTCTCCATATAAAAAAAACCATACTGCTGACTATGACATACAATATACTTTCAGAAATAGCGAATATAAAATATATTCAATTGACTACACTTAGTAAATACTAAAGCATGTGAAAAAAAACCAGTGTTATCTGGGGAAAAAAAGTGTGCTGAATGTCAATCACCACAATTAAAGCAACTCTTAGTTTCTGGCATAGTTTCAAACATAACTATATTTAAACCATATCATCTTAGAGTCTATGAACAGAAAATATATCTTATTTTCTACTTACAACTGACATCTATGCTTTTTTCTCTGTACTGACAGATTTAGAGTAACAAATCTGTTCCCAGAGCCCTTTGATATACAAAGAGTTATTACAGACTGGCTGACTCCACAACCATGAACAGAAACAGAACAGTCTAACAAATTCTGTATTTCTCACCAATTTGTATGACAAAACTTTCCACGTAACAGAAACCTCGAACAAAAGTAAAATTATTCACTTTGTAGCTCCTTGTGGCAAGACTATGAAGGAACTCCAGAAAGCAAAGGTCAGTATAAAAACTGATCACACAAAAATGCCCCATTGGTCCACATCCACATCCCACACATATAAATAAATAAACAAATAACAACAAAGAAACTATCCAAAGTGCTTTTCTCCTGGTTCACACAGTACTGTTAAACACATTTCATACATGCACTTCAACTATTCCTGCTAACTTCTGAAAAGGTTTTATGCAATGTGACAATCTGACAAATTGGTGACTTGGTTAAATGAAGCCAATTCTGACCAAAGTAGTAAAAAGAGCAAAATACAAGTTGCATTTTACTGGAAGTTAACAGCTTGGCTTCAATGTATCAGGAAAGTGGAAGTTAAAAATAATGCTTTTATAAATTAAATACCTTGAGAGAAAAAAAAAGAAAAAAAAAGGATAGGAGATCTATCAGCAGAAAATGTACAATGAGAACCTACAGTTAAAAATAACACGTAAACTTGGAAGAACATTCATCCATTGATAAGGTGGAGGCTTCACAATATTGATTCAAGAAGATATAACTTCATGAAATAGTGTTTTTAGACTTGTTCAGACAGAAGATACAGGCATTAAACATTCATCACTCAGTGAAGCTTTACAGTCAGTCTTACACAGTGTCAGGGATGTTAAGTATTCTCTCTAGTTCTAAAATAAGGAGCACGCTATTCTTCTCGTTGTTGTGTTGTACATTCAGTGGCTAACACCAAAAAAGTCACCACTGACACACTGACACTGCACTCATCACTTTCAAAATCTGTACAGAGCAGGGCATTGAGATACCTATTTTCAAAAGGCCAGATGAGAACTAATATCCTGTACTCCTTCATTTCTCCTCTTATAGAACAGCCTTGTAACTGCACTTGCATTTACACTATTACAGTTGAACACGTGTATTCACTAGGCTGCAACTCAGAATGTAACATACTCCTACTCACCAGGGTAACTCCTTCATCATTCTTCTGATTCACACTTCCTCCACTTGATATGAGCTGTCGGACATCTGTAAGCATAGTCATAGCTCTCTGTATCTTCATTTGGCGCAAGGAATTCAGCTCAACACCTGGAAAAATGAAAAGGCTGCTGATATTTTGTTTGTCAGTAAAGAACATATATGATTTTGCTTTTATTTCCTGGGTTTGTAGAAGGATAGTAAACATTTAATAAGAATTCAGTGTACGTTTACAGAACATGTCTCCTTGCTTATATTTACCAACAAGATTATTCATATTCTTATTTATCTGTATTACTTGGATGACTTAACCTTAGTCAGCAATATCAGACAAATGGGCCAGATGCCCTATTGACTGGCAAGAACAGTTGTAGGCAAAGTAGTTGGAATACCATTAACTTTGTTGAAACTGAGAAATAAGGAAGCTGCAACAAAATAAAAGAATTAAATACTTCAGAGAAGCCACTTCAAGTCTTTCAGACTTACTTAATGAATATTGTTTGAGGCAGCATTCTGTCACCCCTGTGTATGCATTACACTGCCCCAGACTAATCTCTCAAATCTGTCAACTCAACTCTTTGAGACATTGTGATTTGAAGCAAGTGGCACTAAAACTCAACAGTTGTGGTTTTTTTATTTGCTTGGGTTATTTTTAGCCAGGATTAGTTGTCCATCTGGGCCTGGACCATTAACCAAATAAAAATGTGGTCTACAGGCAGGAACAAATGAGAGGAGATGAAAGTTATGAAGAGCTGGGTCTGTTTGAGTCAGCACTGCTATTGAAAGAAACACTTGTCAAAGTACAGCTTTAAAAGGAAGATAAGCAAGGCAGTCTATAACCAAACGGAAGCATGGTCTGCAGTCTGAATAGAGCTAAAATTAGAAACAGAGCACAACAAAATTACTAAGTGGTTAAATTAGCATCTGGTTGTGGCTTGAATGGAGGATCTAACCAAAATTCAGGGCTTGGTTCTCCCAACTCATAACTTCCAGTGGTCATTTACATCTATATGTAGAAAATATAATTTGAATATGAAAACCTTGCCTTTCTGTCCTGGTCATGTCATAACAGAAAACATATAAATAAATGACTTCTTGATTCTTTTCCATCTTTGTCAGTGAGGATAAAAGTGACAAATAATAAATTAAATAAGATGTTCTTAAATATTTTTGTTTGTATTATTCATTTTACATTTTCTATTCAACAATTCTTTTGTTTTTGCTTTTTTTGTTTTTGTTTTGTTGTTTTTTTTACATTACTAAAACAACTGAAGCATGTTTCAGGGTAGAAGTATATTTAAAGTCTCATAGTTTACAGCTACATTGGAATTCATGTAAATGGATACACTATATGCAGTTCAACAAAGAAACTCATTCAGTGCTTTTCCTCTCACGTGCTGTTCTACACAGTGCTCTGTGTTTTGAACTTTATTTGCAGGGAGCACTTCGAGTTTCAGCTCTGAGGTGAAGTGTTCAGGGTGTGAAAACGGTGTGTTCAACGGTGTGTTGAACACTGCTGATCACATTTACACCAAATGTGAAACATAAATGTGAACCCAAAAATGCCTCATTTTCTTTATCAGGACTAAAACTGTGCTCTTTCACAAAAATGCAATTCAGACAAGTATTAATTGGTATTGATAGCTTAAATCAGATATCCAACCAAAAGCAGAATGTGCTAACATACTATGTGTACTATGTATCACTGATAGCTGCTAGACTGGGAGACATCGACTTCATATACAAAACTCTGAGTACCTCCTAAGAATCAACCTTTCATTTCACCAGAACTGATATTTTTATGTCTTCATCACATTTCACAGTAATGACTTAAAGCTACCCGGTGGCATTTACAAATTACTGATGTCTTTTTTTTTTTATCTTCTCTCCAGATCCTGCTTGCTTGCAGCAGCAAGTTGATAGCTTAACATTCTAGTGGCAGAACTCTCTCAAATATGGAAGTTTCAATTGCCAAAACACTAAGTAGTACAGGAGTACACACACTTAAGTGGTAATTGTGGCACTGACTTCACTTGTTAAACACACTGCAAAGCTGAAATAAAACTTGCATGGTCATGATAAAGTTATTTCTAATGTTGTCATATAAAATACCTGGAAAACATATGTGTAGTTTCTGCCTGATGACGAAGGCCATTTTTAAGACAGAAAATGTAATTTCTGTCTTCTGGTTGATGTCTCTGGCAAGCAATTACAGCGCACTTTGCTTTTCAAGGAGAGAGGCAACAGGTGGAAATTAATACTCCAGCTCTTTAGCCTGTGCACAATACCTTGAACACTCAAACATGGAAACTATGTTCACAGTTTAAAAATTAGAAATACCAGTTTCTGACTTTCCCCACGTAAAAGACTCACAGTGAAATACAGGAATTATCATGTTGTCTGTATGTCTGTACAGGTTGTATAGATACAGGTTGAATGCAGATGTTAACTGAAGTCCAGTCAGCCTTTTCTTGCAACCTACTATGGATTTTCTATCAGTGTGATATGGTCAGATAACTACCATGTCATTGTATTCTTAATCTAACTGTGAAATATTGATCCTTTGCTTAAGAAGTGCATTTGATAGCACCTGATTGCATTCCACATAGGGTTCCCAAAAATGAATTATTGAAAATTTAACTTTGTTTGTAGCAAAGGAGGAATCGAGTAGAGTTCAGCTGCATCCTTTGCTCTATCACACATGTAATTATATACACATCAGCTCTGAGAAGATGCATAAACAATGCTACGTAACAAAATGCACAGTCTATATGAATCTCATGATTCCAATAGCAGTTATACAAAGAAACAATACATATTTCATTGGGCAAATAGCAATAAGCTGCCTGACAAGTGAGCTCTACAATAGTGGTAAGTTCCACAGGCTACATTTTAGCAAGATTCAAAGGACTTCTGACAGTAGTACAGAAGTAAAAGAGATCTCATCCCCTACAGAATAGAAACATGAAAAAAAATAATAATAATTTCAGAATTGCAGAATTTTGAATCCCAATAATTTGGAAAATATTTCGCTTGGGAGCAATGGTAGGGAGGTGCCTTCCCATGATCAGTTCTGTTAAGATTTCTCTCCCTCCCCAGGGGGTGACAGTTTTCATTAGTTTAGATGGAATAAAAAAGTATTACACATACAGTAACTCTAGCAGTCTGAATCAAAGAACAACCTTCATGTTGATTTTCAAAGAAAAAACACCTGAAATGAGGCAGCAGCCAGCATGAATAAACAGAGGAAGAAAACTGAATCGGCAGGGAGTATTGGAACAGTTCACATTAAAAAGAATGGAAACTGAAAAATAAAGGTGTAGGATAGCAAATAGACACCAAATATCCTGCAAAATCAGAGCAAGAGCTACATGCCCTTGGAGTTCACAGGAGATGCAATGGAGAAGGAACAATTACAGCAGCAGTGACCCTGCAGGGCACAGCATTTGGTTGTATTAATCCTGATGATAGGCAGGAGCATAACCTAAAAGTGACAAAATGCAACACTTCTCCATGTTTAAGAGAAACACTTGACAAAGCTATTTCATCTGCTGTGGCTGTCCCACCCTTTCATGCATATGGTTATGGAACTGACAGCCCAAAACAATGTAAAAATATATCAGATAAAAAACAGGGAAGTAACTTTCAGAAGGTTGCAGTGGTAAAGAAATACACGGCAAACAGAACTGAGAATTTCTATAAAATGTATTTTCTGCAGAAATGTGCAGCACTTGGAAGTGTCTCCATCTGCCAGGTGAGCACCTGGTTCTGGGTACAAAGCACGCTGCTCAAGGACACCCAGCAACCACTCTGTCTAACTAGCTTGCATGTCTCATATTTAACAGGTGTAAAAGTCTTCAGGATTTGTCAGTACCATCATGTGTTGCAAACACAAATGTGCACCAACAACTTGAAGCAGCTGTCACAAGCCAATCACTCCTCTTCTCTCACTCTGTCTCTGTTACTGCACAGAGCTGTAACTGCAGCAAGGTGATTTTCACTCCAAGAGGTGAGCCTGCCTTACTCTTCTGTAATTCCAGGGACACAAGAAATTTCTGTTTTTCAGTATAGGATAGATGTATTCACAATCCATGAGGAAAAAAAAAATCACGGTACCATTTGTGGTACATTCATTTTTATTCATTATATTATCCATGTGTAGATGTTACTTTATCCAGCTTTATTTACAAGAAGTTTAAGAACTTTACTGGCCACTTACCAGGCAGCTTTATAAAAAGTATCAATTTTGTAGAATTACATTGTTCAGCCACCCTTGTGCACATAGCTTAGCATTACCTACAGCTGATTTTCTGAAGTCCAGGATGTGAACAGATACATTTCAGCAATGATTACTACGTGAGAAGGGAAGCTAATATTTTCAGCATGTACAGAAGAACTTGCAAAACTACTGAGGGTATAGCTCTGATTCACTGTAAAAGCACAGACTGATGGCTGTCGTTGGGTTCTACGTGTCTGTCTTTAAAGCTATCATTTTGTATGCTGTCAAAGCAAGTGAGGGATGCTTACTATGAACTAAGCTTTTCTTTCTACTCTGAAAATTATATCAGTAATGAAAGGCCTGTTTTCTCATCAGTGACACTTCTCCCACTCTAGTGAGACATGGGCTTCTTTCTGTCCCTTCTATAATAAGGATGTTGAAGACCCTTCTAACCAAAATTAGTTACATGGACTCCCTCTTTTCTTCATTTATATGATAAGAAAAATAATTGTTGTAATTTCTTTTAACAGACTGGCACAATCTCAAGATTCAGTACTAAGCATTCATCCTTGGACATGTCTTGCAATTTATTATTTTACTCGTACTGTTAACACTAAAATGCAGAAACAAAGTAAATATATTCACCAGTTATCATCAGTTATTTATGATAAGTATAATGTCTGCTATGAGCTCATCATGTACCGTACTTTTATACTCAGTGTTTCTCTGCAAGTTCTTAGTGTTATAGTTGGATGTATTTGTGGGAGAGCTGTAAGAGAAGGCTACTCAACGAGAGCCAGGGACCCAGGAGGTTATGGGAAACAAGGGCAAATATCTTCACTGATCGGGGACCACAGGACCCAAAAAAGAAAATAAGGCCTATCTGGTGAAGGAATTAGGGCCAACCAACAGTCCTGACAGAAAAACCCATAGCTACAGATCAGGACAATTCTAAAGGCGGGAAGCCAAGTAGGTCAGATCCTGGTGCACAAACATACCTTTGGGCAAGGACCAAGAGCCTGCGCCTACACAAGGCTCCTCAGCCAAGGGATGAGTGAAATATCAGGGCAAAGATTTTCCCAGCTGTCCCATAACTTGGCTGTTCTCTCAACAAACTGTTCCCAAATTACATGGCTTTATTGGAGCTTGCACTGAGTACAAGCAGCCAGACCCTGGGAGCACAGGAAACCAGTTGCAGGACCTGTGGGTGCAGTCAAGACACTAAAAACTTTTTTTCTAACTTGCTAAAGGTCATAGATTCAGAAATTCTATAAACATTGGTAATTCATTTCTGATGGCAACAGAATTAGAATCAGTAGGTTCTTCAAAAAGATACTAATAGGGCATCTCTTGTTTCTGATGTTCTTCAGAATATTTTCCAAATTTTGTAAAGTCTATTAGTCATGGAAATGCCTGCTTTCCTTGTCGTGCCACTTACAAAGCAGGTCACAATCTATTGAGTATAAATTAAAACGTCAATTCAAGTGCCAAAAGTCTGCACAGTGAGTTTAAAGGCTCTCACTTTGATAAAAACATGTGGACAACAAAATGTTTCCATACGATGGATTTTTTTTTCTTTTCATTCACTGCACATTTCCAGACACACGGAAGCACACAAATAGTAAGAGGAGTCTAAAACCTGAAAGTCAGTTAAAAAATATAAAAATTAAGATGGTCTATTCAAACATATTAGAAAGCACACGTTAAAAGATAGAAACAGTTTCAAATATTACACTTCTAATGAGTCACATTTTCTGTGTGCTTCATTTTCAGGAATTGGAGGGACCTACTGAAACATGATGTTTGGTCTTCCTGGTTCTCACAGGCAGTATTATCACCTAACCCCTATCATAATTTAATTTACTTCTACACAGAAAATAGATTATTTGTGCATGATAATCCTACGGGTAGGTGATTTCCAGACAGCAGAGATCAGACCGAAAAGCTTTGAACTGCCCTGAAGCTGTTTGGTTTTGGTTGTCTACTTTTTTTTCTATCAACATACTCCATCAACAATACTAATAGAAAATTTATAAAAAGCTATCAGGATCACTTCAAATATGGTTCTGAAAGTAAAAAAATATATATTTATCAGGGGATTTAATTCTAGTTTAAGTTAATTGATCTTCATTGCTCACAATCTCTATATGTTAACATTTTAATCCGTTTTCATTGTAGTATGTTAGCAATAATCCCTTAATGTGTATGAAAAGTATTTCACAGCTGTAAATGCTAAAGTCTACAGAAGTAATTTTATGAAACAATACAGATCTGTAACAATGGCTTTTCTTGAGCACACCGAAGAAACAGTACACATTTTTTCGCAGCATTGGATTACCAGGGTTTCTACAGTGAAACCTCAATCTTAGAATATTTTGGTGTATTTTCCCTAAAATTTTTTGTCATTACTAGTAATCAAATCCTGATGAAAAATACACATATCAGGGATTTTCATATTGCTGTTTTTGTCATTTAAAAAGTGCCAGCACTGAGAAATACATGGGTTGTTAGGTTTTCCCAGAATGACAGAAAAATAGAATATCTCAAATTGGATTGGACAAGGATCACTGAGTCAACTCCCAGTTTTGGTAGCACAGAGACTTGCAGGGGTTGCCTCTGTAAGAGGAGGCAAGAGGCTGCTTCGTGCTGAGCATGGCCTGTTCCAGATGGCTCCAATGGGCCCAGCACTGGCACAGCTGAGCCCACTACTAACACTGTACTGCAGTTGCACAGATTCAAGTTAGCATTAGACTACATAGTACAGATACTATATGTCGTGTGATGATTCTCTCATCAACTATTAAGGTTTTCAACTACAGCAAACTATTAAATATTAAATTGTTAAATTTTAACAATTTACTGTTTTTCTGCTTTGAATTCACATTCTAGCATCTGTATATGAATGCGGATAAGAGATCTGACAGTGACCACTATCACTAATCTATGTTAGTTGTTCCAATCTGAACATACTGAAAACCTTTTTGATTCCAAATCATCTTCCTTCCTCTCATTTCCAAATTAATACAGCTCCAGTGGCTTCAGCAATTATGTAGGTCAAATGAATATACATATGCTTTAACTCAATGTCAAGTTCAATAAAAAAAGACCAGACTCAGACTTACCGTTTTCTTCCAGGTACATGAGAAGGATGCTGCTGGATTCAGTCCCTTCTACAGCATAGTCAAATGCTGTGTTTCCATTAACATCTTGCAGCAGTACATTTGCTCCAGCCTACATGCAAGAATGAAAAATACTTTATGTGTATGCAATGAAATCCCAAAAGACAATTCTTACATACCAGGACCAGCTAACTTGCCCATTCAAAAATATTTCAAAGCTGGAGTTCCTAGCAGGCTGACTTTAACCTTGAACATTAATAAAAAAATAAAGAACTTTGAATGTCAAAAAGGCTGGCTTTGCCTGGGACAGCTGTCACAGGCACTGTCACCACTCTAGTTGTCCAGTTGGTCTTTACCAAACAAATATCTGAGCTGCTTGTCAGTGACTTTTGGAACAGTCGCAGTTTGTAGCACAGCATTTTAAAGTAAAGTAAGCTGTTGCCAATTACAGTCTGCCTTGGAACACAGCACTGGTTCAAAAGCTGACTGACAAGCAGCACAGACATCCATGCAGGAGAGACAGGTAGACAGCTGGTAAAGGTAACCTTGTCAGCCAGCCCAATCTCTGACAGCTTCATCCACCAATCGAGTCTCAAAGAGAACCATCTCTTACTAAAAAAAATTTCCATTTGTTGACAGTTGAAGACAATGAAAATAAGCATGATTATTATAATTGTAATCCCTAAAGGAGCCTGGCTGATTTCCATAAAATTCATTCAAAATTCAATACAGACAACTAAAGGGAGCCACCAAGAGGTAAAGAGGAGGAGATAAGAATAAACACATGAGAAGATTTAAGAAAAACCACTAGAATGATAAGAAAACTTGTATTTCCTATATTAAATACTGCTAGTGTTAGAATTTGCATTATGAAGGGTAATTTATTAAAAAAAATATATATATCCCTTAAAATATTGCTAATTTCTGAGTTTACACTACAGTAAAATGCCATGTATATACTTCAAGAGGTCATAATTTTAATTCTTTTGTATTGTTCTCTATGACTTTTAACTGAAAGGAATTATGAAATAAGAGTGACCTTTGGTAATTCTAATTACTTTTCTTAACAGCTTGTATGATAAAAGTTTAGCTAATAAAAATGAGAGGTACTAAGAGCAGCCTTTCCTAAAACCTCAGTGGTAGAGGTCAACTTTAATAAAGAATTACTAATAGAAGGTATGACTGCTTCTTTTAGGAGCTTACATTCTAAGTACCATGCCAAAGAAAAATGCTTAATAGGGTCAATTCCAGTATCAGAGTGAAATATGCCTCCAAGAACTAGCAAATCCATTTTGATTTCATGTTACCAAACTTCAAGTGTTGAAGTTGGAGTGATATGAATTAATCTGCTGATTTCCTTTTCATAAAATCATAGAATCATCAAGGTTGGAAAAGACCTTTAAGATCATCCAGCCAAACCATTCACCTATCACCAATATTTCCCACTAAACCACGTCCCTCAGCATGATATCTAAATGTTTCTTGTATTCCTACAGGGACAGTGACTCTATCATCTCCCAGCTTGGTGTCATCTGCTAACTTACTGAGGAGCATTCCTCATCCAGGTCATCAACAAGGATACTGAACAGGACAGGCCCCAGTACTGATGCTGGAGAACACCATTTGTAACCGGTCACTCACTAGCTGGATTTAACTTCATTCATCACCACTCTCCATGCCCAGCCATCCAGCGAGTTCTTTCCCACCAAAGAGTCTATTGGTCCAAGCCACAGGCTGTCAGCTTCTCCAGGACAATACTGTGGGAAATAGTGTCAAAGGCCTTGCTGAAGTCAACACAGACTATGACAACAGTCTTTCACTCATCCACCAGGTAGGTCACTCCGTCATAAAAGGAGATCAGATTGGTCAAGCAGAACCTGCCTTTCATGAACCCTTGAAAAAAATCCATGAATACTTTGTAGCCAAGAGGGGAGACACAGGCATCAAAGAATGACTCACTGCAGCTATCTCAACAACTATCTCAAACATCTGGGATCCCCTATACAGTGATATCCTATCTGCCAAAACAATCTCTTCTGCTCTGAAATACATTATTCTCTTTTCATGATTATCCTGCTGACTGACTAGAGGAACCTAGATAGCATATTTATTTAAGATGAATATTTGCCAAGTGGCTAGATCAGATTAGACAAGAGATGACTCTCATGCTTACTGAAAAGAAACAGAAGGAGACTTATGTGGAAAGAAAAAGGTACAAAATGTTGCATTCACTACAGTACTGTGAAAATAAGTTTCTACTTGCCTGTTCTACTAGACAAAGATATGATGAAAAAAAACAAATGAAGAATGGATTTGAAGATTATAACCACTTTGCAGAATGGCTTAGCAGGTATTTACAGCATTTATACCACTACTGAGCAGAGTGTTAGGTGTTGTTTTTTTGTTTTTTTTTCTTTCCATTCAGTGACTCAAGGAGTTTGCTGGTAATAGCAGAGTCAATGAAGTAACACATGCAAATATCTAGTTGACCTGCACGCAGCAAAAAAGCACAAACTCTTGGAGGTATCTATACTTTCTTGCATGTAAATAATTTCCAAGAATTGCCAGAGGCAGTTCAGAAGGATAATAACAACACAAGTTTACACACATTTTCTTACTTCTTGATCTAAGAAAATGAAAAAAAAAAAAAGACATTAAATTCAGAAAAAGTAGGATATTTAATTTGATCTGCAGCACAATTTTCATTCTTTCTCCTGGATTTAAGATTTAATGCCACTGAAGGAAGAATACAATATGGAATTACTCAGCTCCAAATAATTTTACTGGGTAGCTTTACATTATCTTATTTCTTAAAAAGCATGCACAATGAACTGCAACCAAAAAGAAGGTCAAGTCTGGAGAAAACTAGGACAGAGAAGGTAGGATTGGTTCTTGGAACTCAAGTGAAAAAGCAATTCAGGATGAGGCTACACTTTTAAAAGTAATATTTCCCTCTAAAAATAAAATTATTCAGGAGTTTTTAAGTAATAAACACGTTTGATATAGTGTACCAAGTATTTAATACAGTTTGGTATCATCATCAAACCCCACATGCACACATTTCAGTACACAAAGAGTAAGGTACTGGAAATATTTGTTAAGCTCCATTTCTTTAGAGCATTCCCAAAAATAGTTCTTAATCCCATTTCTGTGCTTAGCTATGCTTTCAAAGACAAATCTGAACAGAAATAATTCACCTTTGAGAAAACTATCTAAAAAAAGGAAAGAAGAAAAGAAAAATTCCCAGGGTAGCTAATCCCTTTTTCTGTCTATATGGCTAAACTAGCTGAGAAAAGGTAAATGGATAAAAATCGCTTCCTTTTTATACAATTTTATCTTTCCCTCATTTTCCTCTCTTTCATGTTGAGTCCTGGAAGACAGACCTCCTCACTGTAACTACTTGAAAGTAACTTGCTTGTGAGAAGTTTTTAATTGAGGTAATTCTGACTGTTGAAATTTTTACATTCTAGAACCAGATTTTGGCATGCCTACAATTGCAAATTCATAACCAAATAAATGAAAAACAACTTCATTAATCCAGGTACACATGAAGTATACAAATATGTATAAATAACCTTTTACAATTGCAACAAATATCCATTTCATTGTATTCTGTAATATATACACTGTGGCACATGAGAAGGAGTACAGGATTTCCCAGATGGTTTCACCACCTCATCAGACTCTTTTCTGCCAATTGTCCAATTGCCATTTGGTTGCCGTAAATAAACTGTAACGTAACCTTTGTGCTAATCCAGGAAATGTGGGGAATCCCAAATGGATTTACTCACTTTCATTTTTCCACAGGGGAACATGAACATGCACAGACTACTGAAACCTGGAAGTATGATGACCCCAGTTCATGGAAGGAGGGACGTTCAGGACCACGGCAAAGCATCTCATGGCAAGTAAGGAGCTCATTTGCTCCAGCAGTACAGCACGAATTTACACAGGCAGTACAACCAACAGACCAGAATTCTTCTGTCTTTGTAGCAATACCAAGGCTTTCCCTGAAGATGAATTATTATTATTTTTTTTTTAAACCAAACAACTGCAGTTAAAATTCTTACAGTACATTACACTGGCATCAAAGGTGGAACAATTCACTGTATTTCTCTTTCCGAGTTCAGACATAATCTCCCATTAAAAAAAAACAAACACATCTGTCAAGTGGCATAGAATCATAGAATGGTTTAGGTTTGAAGGGACCTAAGGGACCTTTAAGATCACCTAGTTCCAACACCCAGCTACAGGCAGGGACCTCCCAGTAGATCAGGTTGCTCAAAGCCCCACCCAGCCTGGCGTTGGCCCTCCCATCCACAACTTCACTGGGCAACATGTTCCACTGTTTCACCACCCTCACAGTAAAGAATTCCTTCCTAATATCTAGACTAAATCTACGCTCTTCCAGTTTAAAACCATTTCCCCTCAACCTGTCTCTACCTGCCTTTATAAAAAGTCCCTCCCTAGTTTTCCTGTAGGCCCTTTCAGGTACTGGAGGGCCACTATAAGGTCTCCTCAATCTTTTCCAAGCTGAAGAGCCCCAGCTCCTTCAGCCTGTCCCCACAGAGAAGGTGCTCCAGCCCTCTGATCATCTTTGTGGCCCTCCTCTGAACCTGCTCCAACAACTCCATTTCCTTCTTGTGTTGGGAGCTTTAGAACTGAATGCAAAGTGTCAGTATGATACAAATTCTAAGTACCAATACTTCAAAGCATACATAGTATGAAGCCATAGTATTCACCTGTTCATTCTGACTACATATTTGCCCAGCATATATGAAAAGTTTCTGGCTTACTCATTTTCAACACATCCTCAGCCTTCAACCATTTCTCAAAAAGAAGATGAATATCTTGAAAAACTTTATTCACTATCTCCCATGGGTTATACTTTCGAGAAAAAATATTTGACTCCAATAATAAATTGCTTCATTTTAGCAAGACTTTAGATGGAATATGTTATTAAAAATGTTCCCAAAGAAACATAATTCAATACAGAATTCAATTCAGAATGCAAAATGAATCTGAACTGAGCATACAGCTCTGTGGAACAACATCCATATGCAGAAATTCCAAGCAAGGGAGAATGCTTGCAATCAATAATAGCTGAGTAGA